AAGAGGAGCAGAGACTAACAGAAAAAACGGCTTAACAAACAGCAACTTCTACTACCATCTCCTGCTGACACAAAGAGGCAACTGTGTAACCAACTAGACTTTACCATTCTGCAAGGTGACACGTAATACACAACCAACCACCATGTTGTACACATTAAAAAAAAAAAAAAAAACATGCCATGTCAATGTAAACAATGTAAAATTAGCAGTGGTGATGAAGCTGTGTGATAGGGTACGGGCTGAGCATATGCAAGGTTCTGCTTTTAATACCTGGCACTGACAAGAAATACACCAAATATTTTAAAAAAGAAGAAACAATCTGGGTTTAGTGGTCCAAACCAGTAAGCCGAGTACTCAGAATGGAAAGAGAATCAGGAATTTCAAGGTTACCCTTATTGGCAGGGAACTCAAGGCCAGCCTTGCACCACTTGAATCCATCCAAGGCCGGCAGGCAGATCTGTTAACAAGGTCGGTAGGAGACACCATCCACATCTCACCACTGTTCTGTAAGTGAACATTCACAAGGCCTTCTGAAGCATGTTACTAGATTTATCCACTTCTGTCTGACCACTTCGTACAAGAAACAAAACCTAAAAAGTACTTTCAAAACTCAGGTCAAGGGTACAGATCTGTACAAGGTGACTGACTGACTGCATGACTTCAGTCTGGTATTACATATGACATTCATTATCAGTTCTGTTCCTTTTGAGGGGTCGAGGACTCCAAGATCTGATTAAAGTGATCGGCTCTCCTCCCGAAGGAATGGCATTCTGGAGGATTCTCGTAGCCATCTTCAAAGGACTCATGGATCCATCGAGAGTCAACGTTTCCCTGGAGATTAACCATCTCCATTTTTTTCACGGATCATCTACACTGTATTTATTCTTTGTAAGGAAATGAATTACTTGGTGTCTCGATTTTGAGGATCTGAGTTAAGTAACATCAGGGAAACAGAAGGAAAGCCACTTCAGTCTGGTATTGCCCTCTGTTCCCTGGAGGGCTGCCAGGCCTCACTGTGTGCGGTCGCTGCGAATGAAATACTGTACCCTCTGCAAAGCTTAAAGAAAATGACAGCTTCATTTCTGAACTTAAATGTCCTTAATATTTAATTCCTTCCTATGTGGTTAGTAGCTTGCTTCTCCACACCATCCAGATGATGGCTTTGGAAGGTAAGCTATTGGAAGTTCAAAAAAGTACATACCCCCAATTCAATTTCCTCGGAAAAAAATCAAAATGCTCTCAGGACTGCGAATTGAGAACAGCTGAGGGGCCAATGTCTTCGACGAGTGTTGGCCCAGGCGGTGCCGGGGAGGGGTAAGGTGGGTACTGAGAATAGGCAACAGGGCATACCAATTTGTTTTCAATCTATTTTACTTCAGTTCAGAGCATCATCACAGACAGACAGCCCAGGAAAACAAGCCGCACTTTGGTTACTCTCAGTCTTCCTCAATCTGCAAATGCAGCTGAGTGTTGCCAAAGTGCGGCTTGTTTTCCTAAGCTGCCGTCTGCACTGATGCTTTGAACTGAAATAAAATAGATTGAAAAACAAATTGGTATGCCCTGGCTCCTCCTGCAGTTTCATACCCTGCTTCAAAGCTGGCGTTACCACCTACTCTTTACTGAAACCCAACAGACCCAAATCACAAAGTAGAAACAGCAAAGCTCAGATGGAAAGGTCCCACCCAAACCCAAAATAGCAATTTAATTCTGGGCTTGCAGTTCAATACTGCATTAACATGCCACTCTGTGGCCAGCTCCCAGCTCCATTCTCTGGCCTGGATGACATCTTCTGATGACATGCCTAACACGGTTATTGCATACAGTATAAAGCAAAACCTGACATTCATTCTTCCATATGACAGCTCCAGCATTCCGTGGATTTAGCACAGCCTATTGTTTCTCACACTCTTGTTCCATTCATACCTATTCAAAGAGCCTGGTGCTTTTCAAGTATTACATACCATGGTACAGATGCTACATTTTTGTTCTTTGAGACAGAGTCTCATGATTCTTGCTTTGGCATCAGACTTAGAGAGATCCACCCTCCTCTGTCTTCTGAATACACAGATGAAAGGTGTGTGCCACCACGCCTGGTTTAAAGGATGCCACTTTATTAAGAAGACAATGGAAGGAAACCCACAATCAACTGTAAACACATCCTGGAGTCACCACCCAGCCTTTCCCCAGAAAGCCCCAAGATAGTGCAGATATTGGGGCTAAAGGTGTAGCTCAGGCTCAGAGTACATGTTTGGTGTGGGGCAGACCTCAGTTCCATTCCCATTTAAATGTTCCCCAAAATTCGTGTATCTCTCATGGAGGAATATAAACAGCCAAACAGTTCTAAGCTTCAAGCACTAAAATGATGAAAGACTTTCTGTGTACACAACTGTATAGCTTGGTTTTAAAACTAAATTCTGGGTTGGTGGGATGGCTCAGTGAATTAAAGGTACCTGCTGCTAAGTCTGTGACCTGTGTTCAATCCCTCATGGTGGAACCATATGGTGGTAGGAGGAAACCAACGCCTGTAAATTGCCTTCTTCCTTTCATAATCATACTGTGGCACCTACACCCATCCACACTCCACACACACACACACACACACACACACACACACTGTAAGTTTTAAATAATTTAAAAGAACAATTAAATTCCACTTGGGAAAGCTGCCCTCTATTTAAACACTGAAGAAATCTATCTTCCCCTTTCCCCAAAGGATAGAAAAACGCACATCCTCCCCACCCCTCATTTTGCTTGTAACACATCTGAATTTCCACCATTATTTAATACACCTGGGGCCAAATTCGGGTTAGTCTTTCCAATTAGATGCAATTACATGCAATACAGCATGCACACCACACTGGGGCAAGAGGATAGGTTGTGTTACTAGTTTGAAACCAAGAAGACCCCATCTCAGAAAGAAAACTTGGAACCTATTAAGATATTTTATCTTCTTCAATAAGCAATACAATTTTTTTGAGGCAGCCCCACTGTCCAGACTGTAAGAGCAGACAAGAACTGTGCAATGTGCCAAGCCACCCAGCTCTACTTGCTCTTGGTGTAGAACAAATTCTCAGATATTTGCTCAATAGATGCTCAAGATTTGTATATTTACTATCTTCGTAAAAACATCGAGCTGTGGTACTGGCTAGCAGCTGAGGCCACAAAAGTAACATGTGGCATTGCTCTTGTGGACCTCACAAGCTGGCAGGAAAGACAACAGATGGAACACAGCATGGCATGATCTGTTTGCTTCAGCTCCGTGCTCCCTATGCATAAACCATGTAATACTGGCCATCTCTCCCCTGGGTAAATGTTAATCCTAACACTATCTGTGTCACAGACTAAGTGACAGTTCAAATTAAGCCTTAGTGCCAGTACCTGGCACAAAGAAATTGCTCAACAAGCATTAACTTCTCATTTTATTGCCATGACACTATGAGATAGGTGTTTGAAATTATTTTTGTCAGACAGGCAGAGGTAATGTACAACTGTAATTCCAACATTTGGAAGCTGGGGCAAGAAGATCTCAAGTTAAAGGCTGCACAGCAAGACCTTTTTTCAAAAAAAAGGAGAAATAATTATTCCTGTGAGTCTGCATATCACCAAGCCTGCTGAAGAATTTAAATTCCACAGTTATCTTGTGCAGTAATACATTTCCAGGACTCCTACCTACACATAGTAGATGCGATTAAATTTGCTTATGCAGCAAAGGTATTAAAAAACAAACAAACAAAAGCCAGGCGGTGTTAGCACACTCCTTTAATTCCAGCCCACTTTTAATCCCAGCGCTTCAGAGGCAGAGGCAGGCAGATCTCTGTGAGTTTGAGGCCAGCCTGGTCTACTGAGCAAGTTCCAGGACAGACTCCAAAGCTACAGAGAAACCCTGTCTCGAAAAAGCAAAACCAACCAACCAAAAACAACTGTTAAATGTTTGAGGGTGTTCGGCAAGGGGTATATGCCTGTAATCTCAGCACTTGGAAGAGGCAGGAGGATCTGGAGTTCAAGGCCAACCTTGACTCAAGAGAAATAAAAGACAGGTTGGGAAACACGGTCACGGAAGAACCATGTCTACATGACCAGTGGGTATAATTTATGCCAAATACTGAAAATTTGTACTTTGAGACTGCTTAAAACAGCTATAACCCATACCAAAATTTGGATATAATCCCAAGGAAGAACACTCCCAGACGCCGAAAATTTACAGTCTGAGGCAACAGGGGACAACGTAGGCTACAGGGCGTTCCCAGTGACAGGCTCACATTGTCAGCCCTATAACCTAGTACACCCTAAAGCAGCTTAATCATACTTCACTTCTTTAGCGAAAGACAAATTCTTGCAACGCTATGTATAAACATAAAGCGGGTGGTCTATTGCACGCACTGGGCGGATGGTAACATCGCAAAGTATGAGAAACTACTAGCATGACCGTGTCGTGGAAGCCAGGATATTGTGTCAATTGCACACTGGCTCAATCTACTTGTGCCTCGGGCCAGAGTCGGCAAACTTCTGTAAAGCGTAAAAGAGAAACTGACTCCGGCTTTCTGGGCCTTCCCATCATCAGAGCCGAATAGAAACCAAGCCCCTCCCGCGCCCAGCGGCGGGCAGGCGGCCAGACAACACATAAACAACCAGCGTGGCTGCATCTCGGTGCAACTTCACTGTGGGGAGCTGACGCTTTATTGCACACGACTTCTATTCCCCCACAACTACTTTAAAACCGGATAAGCCGTTCTTGTCTCGCAGTAAACAAAAGCCGAGAGCAGGGGCCGGGAGGGAGCCCTGGAGTGAGC